CTAACACCGTAAGCACTCAGGCCCCAGTCTTCACACCCCTCGACAATTCAAAAAATTCCGCGGAGGGTCGAGATAGCAAACATAAGATAACCAATCCAAAGTATTCAACAATTGAATTTAATGTGCAGGATTTGCGACAATCCCACATTTTTAAATATTCAAACTTCACGAACATGAATTTATTTCGTTAATGCCGCCAGATAGTTCACGATTGACAAGCTAATTCATAATTTGTGTCGGTAATATCTCCGTAGCGAATGGGTATAGGAGCGCACATATGCTTCCATCACCATAGTTGATACCTAGCTCAATAAAGGGTGACGTAATTTTCTACAATTCACGGAAATCTCATTTCATTATGAACTAGTCTGGCACTAAAGAAATCTAGAAGTTTAAAATGTCAGACAACTTGTAATTGAAATTGGGATCACCACCTATATCGAAAAACTTTTCCAATTCCAGCTTCCCCTGTTCGCCAGCGAGTCGTTACATAGAGATTTGAATTCCTAATAACGGAAAATTAGCACGCCAAGGAAATGTTTTGTAAACTACAAAAATTGATAGAAATGAAAAAAAAGAGCAAAAAACTTTCTGTATGATGAAAAAAATAGTTGAAGGAAGACCAAGATTCTTAGCGGTGATTGGAAAATGGAGAATTAATTTGATGCTATCGACTTTAACAAAGTCTCTTGAAGAGAGTTTAATTGAATTTTTGCATTCAACAGAGGATACAATTGTATAAGTTGAGTTTCCATTTTACTCCTTTGAATATTCGTACCATATTCAAACCCACGGTTCCAGATGGGTGACATTTAACCACATACCGAACAGACAGTACAGATACGCCTATATCGCTGTGGCACTAATCGGTGATATATAGCTTGTATCGTCTACTCGGCATTTTCGTGGATAATATGTCTAAAAATTCTTTAAAAAATATATTAAATAAAAGAAATTTTATTCACCTCCTTATTTCATGTTCAAGAAAAGAGAGAATTGGTTTGTGGTATAGAAAATGTGAAATGAAAACTCGTGAATGTAAATTATTCAAATATCTTGAGAAAAGTGCATCTATTGTCGTGCCTGATCTGGTTGTTGAGTCTTTGGCATTATTGAATTACCTACCGTTCTCCCCCCCCCCCCCCCACACGTCGGTCTCACCACCAACCCGACCCTTCCCATGACACTGAAAGCTCATTTCGTCGGAGCTAATGCCCCTCCACGCATGCTACCTCTCTCTCGTTTTTTCCTACTCCGAATCTGTTGCGTCTTTGTTTCTCTCCCATATCTCTTCCGTCCGATTGCCTCATCACGCGCGCCATCCTCTACCTTTGTCTATCGCGTCGTCGTCCCATACGATATTGAAATTACGGCTCAACGAGCGCAAAGAAGTTTCACTTCAAAAAGTATAACGGATCAATTTGGTGAATAATGTACTCAGCCAACTTAGGCTGCTGAAAGTCTGATAATTTACTGTTGTCCAGGGGCCTGAAAAAGCTCCGCAGGAAACGCGTGAGAGGGTGTGTGAATGTAGTGTAAGCTACTGTCTCCGTGAGGGTGACGTCAACCCGTCATGTCTTTGCTCGAAAAAAAATGTAGTTTTTACGTGGCTGTAATAAAAAAAATGAGCTTGTTCAACCGTCGCTACCAGTGAAGCTTACGTAAGGAGGCACTCGCGGGTGTTATATTTGTGTTCCAGTCTGCTCGTTGCAGTTTACTCTCCTGCGTCACTTTTCTGTAGTCGTAGTTAGGCCAGTGTATTGTGCTGCACATTGTTGATCTTTTTGTTGTTGTTATGGTCGCTGTTGTCGTCGTGGGAAGCTTTCTGCGGTTTGTTGCTGGACAGGCTCCATATCCTCGGCAAGGATGAACACAGGTTTGAAGAGGTCGATAGAAATAGGAACGTCCTGCTGGTAGTTTTCTCTTCCAACTGCTGTACGGTGAACGACCAAATACTTTTCATGTTTGGTGACAACACGATATGGTCCGGAATATGGAGCGGTGATATGAGGTGCCCCAGTATTGTTACGAATGAACAAGTGCCTGCAGTTAGCGAGGCTTTTGTGGATCAACGTTGACCTGACATTGCGATGGGCGCTACCGCTGCGTAATGCTACGCCTGCGTAAGCCCCGTCAAATGTTCGGTGCTGCATGGTCGTTGGTAGGCGTAAATAGTTCATCTGGGAGCCGAATCTTCTCCCGGCAAGTTAGTTCGGCTGTGGTGTTATCAATATCGGACTTCCCGGCAGTGTGAAGCCCCAATAAAACTATTGGCAAGACATCATTACAGTTGTCGCCATGACCGCACAACGCGGCTTGTAGCTGGTGATGGAGTCGTGGAGATCGGCATGGTGATTTTTCATTGGATTTCGAGCATCTCTGTGACGCATCGATAGATATCCAGTGACATAAAAGTGCCTGGATCAGTGTTTGCATCCTGATATCTGGCATCGGTACTACCTTAAGATCCCGCATGAACTTATCGATAATTGTGAGATAGAAACCGTTTGACTCCGGTAGTGTGACTAAATTCACATGAATCTGTTCGAAGCGTTATGACGACAAGGAAAACTCGGCAAGGGGCGCTCTCGTCTGCGGTGAAACCTTATTTTTCAATCACGCTGAACAGTGGCGTGTCCACATTAGACTGTCCTTGCTCTTTCCGGGCCAAAATTTGCCTCTTCAATAGTTCCGGCACATATGGATGAATCGTACCCCACGTTGTAATACAACCAATGGTCTGATCCTGGGGAACGCAGAACTTGCAGGTTGAAGCTGTTTGTATTTCCCTGCAGAATTTGTCGCAGCTCGAGATCCTCGCGTTGTGACTGAGCTAGTTGCTGGTTGTCCACAGCTTCAGTTACCGCTTCGATGCGGGACAAATCACGTGACAAGGTTATTGGTGCCAGCCACATCTTTGCTGTCGGACGTGACCTGACCGATGAAGTGTAGCCTTCGATAATGCAAACCTGTTTCTTTCTCTAGCTTCTGGTGGAACGGGTACGTACATAGGAATGCGCGATACGCAGCGATAAATTGGAACGTCCGATTTTCAATATCGATATATGGATATTTTTCAGTCGATATTTTCAACAAACGATATATCGATATTCAATTTTTTTCAACACATATCGCAATGGAAGAAAAAATTCTAACGGAACACACGACATTAAACAAACGTTCAAAGTGATCAAATCCGATACAAATTAAGTTTTTAATATTGATTTATTATTGTGGTAATGTGTTATTGATGACGAACAGATGAAAATGGCTGAGAATGATAGTAAGACAGTTTAAATTTTTTTTCTTCAACACAAAGGGTTTGAAGAATCCTAACCTAAATTCTGAATTTATGTTTCCATGAGTGCTGAATGCTATTGAATTGATAATTGGAAAAAATTGAATTGGTTTCCAGTTTACGAGTTCAACTCCATTAATTTTATTCTCTGTTCGAACAGATGTCGAGAAATATACGATTTATTTTCGTATCAACGACGATCCTTTTTTCTCCAGAACTGGACTGACAAAATCAGAATATCTCAAATTGACGTGTACGTCACTTACTGATGAATTCATCAGCACCATTATTACCACATCGATTTCTTTTATTTAGTGTTGACTCATTTTGAAATGATAATTTTAGGTGATGACGGATGGACTTGTCAGCTTATTGAATCCTTGTACGGTTCGGATGGTGCAGAGTGGGAAGCAAACACAGGGACTGTTGATTTTTTGTATCGATCGACTGATTCACTTGGAATTACAGAAGTTGAGAAGCCAGAACTATTGCTCCCTGACAACAACCGCCCTCTGCCTCCTCGTAATAGTAGATCTGACGCAGAATCAGGGACTTCATGCCATACCTCAAATCCTCAATCTCCAGATGGTGAAACATCCTCTAGCAGGGAAAACTATGATCCTGTGAAAGGTAAAGATTCAAGCGCTACAACTACAGTTCGAGGAAATGTGTCGAGAGCATAGCTGAAGAGTTTAGTATGGAAATATTTTGATAACAAAGATCCCCTACATGCTACCTGTACAATCTGCAATATTCGTGTGAAACATTCCGGTGGCACAACAAATTTACAAGCCCATTTGGATAGAAAACAAGAGTTCCCATCGTTAGTAACAAGGAGAATGAGAGATACCTCATCTGAATCCAGTGGTGAATCAACAGCTGGAGATGAACCGGGAACCAAGAGAAGAAGAAGAAGAAGTAGTGTCAAAGAATAAATTGGCTCGGATTGATGAAGCCTTTGAGAGAGTGAGTTCTTTTGGAGTAGCAGAAGCACAAGCAGACGAAATTACCAATGCGGTGATCTACATGATTGCTAAAGACAAAGAACCATCGAATATAGTGAATAGAGAAGGCTTCCAATAGTTGTTGAAAGTAGTTGCTCCACATTATCAGCTGCCTTCCCGAAAGACTGTAAATAAGTTGGTAGGTGGTCGATATGTCGAAAGCAAAGAATCATATCGCTCAACTCTCCAAAAGGCTCGATCTTACACTCTAACGTGTGACAACTGGACCGATTGTACTTTCCAGAGCTACCTGGGTGTCAGCATTCACTTCTTGTCTGAGGATCTCGAGATGAAAAGTGGAACTTTAGGAGTCTTCCCATTGGATAAAAACCACACGGCAGATTAACTCACTGAATGTCTGACTTTTGTTATAAATTATTTTGGGTTGGATAAATTGAAAATCATGGCAATTACGACTGATGGAGCATCGAATATTAGAGCTGCTGTAGAGAGTATTGTGGGCTCAGAGGCAGATCTGGTGTTTTGCTCATTTTAATCCCATGTTGTACCCAAGATACTAACCGAAGAATCAGACCTCAGGAAAATAATTGAGACTGTTCGACAATCGTACGAATGATCAAGAGAAGTATTGTTGCTTCAGACAAATTTGAGAAATTACAAATAGATGATGGTAAGACAGAAGGAACTGCCCTGAATTCATTCTTGATGTGCCTACGAGGTGGAACTCACAGTTTTATATGTTGGAAAGGTTCCTTCAACTAGAAGAATACATTCCTGGGATCACACGAAAGTGCAGAAAGACAAAGTTTACAAATCTGCTAAGCCAGGATCAAATAGAAATACTGAGTGAAGTCGTGGAGCTCATGAAGCCGATTGAATTGGTCATCAGAGAGATTAGTGGAGGTGAATATCCTACATGGAGTGTTATAATTCCGATTATTGTCTGTCTGAAAGCAACCCTCAAAGTCATGATACCTACCCGAGTGGAAGGAATGCATTTCCAGGCCAAATTGCTTAGGAAAATCACCGACAAATTCGAAGGTGTTGAAAATAATAAAATCCTAGCAATTTCCACCATCCTGAATCCTAGATTGAAAAAACTTCACTTCGAGTATGCACGGACTGCAGCAAATGCTATCAGTTGTATTGACAGTGAAATGAAATCGACTGGCGTGAGAGCAATTCAAGAGAACACGATAGTTCAACGAAAGCCTGAAGACTCCAATAAAGTCAGTCTTTGGAAGACTCACGATGATTTTGCGTCAAAGTCAACTGACGAGAGTTCTGCTGACGAACATCTCACCTATGAATTGAGGCAATATACGTTCATCTACGTTTGGATGTGATGAACGAGTGGCTTCAGCGAAAGCTCTTTCGCCTGCAGCGACGACAGCATCCCTCTGTCGGTGTCCAGTCTACGGGGTGTTTTCCTTTGGTGGCAAGTCTCTGGTGTACTGCGTTTACATGGGAAAAAATTTCTGCAGCTCCTTTCATGAACTTTCTCTAAAAATTGAGAACACCAACAATCTGCGAAGGGACGGTCTGGTTTAGGGTCATGACTTTCCTAACGATAGCGAGATCTGCGAACTACGTTTCCAATTTGGTGAACCACAGCTGTTGTTTTTCGCAATCGAACGGTCTGTCGTTGATTTGTGCTCTCAGCGCTGTTTGTGCGGCTGTCAGTGCATTGGCCGTAGCGATCTGCTTTCTAGTCACGGGGTGCGGAGTCACCTGGCCTGTTCGGTTGCATGATAGTCAACGGGAGGCGGCTGACGATGATCGTTGTTTTATTCGATATCGGTTGTGCACTGCACTGAAGGGAAGCCGTTAAAAAGCCTTCACGTTCACTAATACAGCACAATGGAACTCTATGGTACTCCACAATGTGTCAGCGGTTTGGAGAGAGGCACGCAACACGACACTTGAGTTTGTGCCACGTGCAGTAATTGCTTTGAAAGATCACGTTGGGCTCACAAATGTGGAAATTTAGATTGCATAATCAAGGGGACTAAGATTCACTACAGGCGATTAACAATATACGATCATTTATTCGCCAAAGCGTTAGTAGGAATACGTAATATACAAAATGAATCGACGTAATAAACTGACTGCTTAAAATCCGACGATTTCGTGTTGCTCAGATGGTGTGTATATGCAACGCAGGGCCCGGTAACCTAGGCTCATCTGGCTCACACGGCTCCCGAGGTTCGTTAATCAGAGCTGAAAGAGGGGGCTCCTCCACTTAAAGAAACTACTTGCTCTAATTCGATTTTCCTCTCTCCTTGAGCCCTGGTTCGACCAATACCGGCAGATGGCGATCGTGCGATCGACCTGGAATTTCCAATTTTCCATAAATTTAAAATATGAATACAATCCCTCTAAACAGGCAGTAATATTAGACAAAAAAGTTTTTTGAATGCTGTCATGATGAAGAGGCACGTATGAGAATTATTTTGTGTCCTATTTGCAGCAATTCAATATAGTACATTTCGACAATAGGTCGTGAGGAATTTTTCTGGCGAATATGAGGTTACAGGACGAACCAAAGGCGTGTTCCCTAATTATATGGGGTAGAACAGTTCTTCACGGCCGTGTGTCGAAGAGCATTGTTTGACATCACACTTTAGAGTTAAGTTTTTTCTACTGTAATTCAAAAATATCACGCTCATCTCGGAGCAACTGAGGTTTCTTTTGTCAAGTTTGATGTTTGGAACTACATTTGAAAATTATGATGTAAGTTATTTTATTCTCTTTACTGATTCCAATGCCTTAAAACATCACCCCTGAGCAGCGCGGAAAACTATTGCCTTTTCTCCGATCGTTTCTGATTTTAAAATACGTTTCTGGTTCCGTTTCTGAGGATTTTTGTTCCGCTTTGGTTTCAAGTCAGTTTGTTGCTTCCGAAGAAAAAGAGTAACTGGCACCCATACATTTTTATTTTCTTGATGGGAACAAGAACGGCGGATAACTTTCGGTTTTTCATAAGGAAAAATTAGTCACGTTACAAATTGTTTTGCTGCATTTAGAAGAATTTCCTCATTCCGTTGAATAGTCTCTTCTGTATACTGCAACTAAAAGAGTGTTGAATTGATGACTTCAATGTAATTTTTTATCACATGATATGCATTTTCTTGCTAACGCTCGAGTCGGTTGAGTCGCTCGTGAAATTCCTTCGCATCTGAGGCGTACATTGTACTGAATAGCGATTTGGCCACAGAGCCCTTTTCTTTTGATTTCCCAGCTTCAAGGAACAAAAGCTGCTTTTGCGTATACTGAACTGCTCATTGTAGGCAGGACGTCACATATATTGTCGTTGCTATGTCCAGACATGACTGCTCAAAAACAATCTACCAATAGATTCAAAATGTAGGCCTGGTGTTCGGTTTTCAACCGCAGTTTTTCTCACACTCACGATCTCACATGACCACAAACATTCAAGAAAAATCACGCTTTCTCATCTGATTCACGCGTCTTCACCGACTTATTCGGATGATTTGTGGCCTTTCACCGTTGACACCACAGGCTCGACTTACCGGATAATAATGATCGGCCTGCAGTAATTTCCCTGATTTGGGGCATGTGACCCCCCAATTAAGGGCATCTGCCACCTCGTGACCCATCAACCGCTCTCATTGTTAAACGGAAGTTCGCACGCATCAGATTATCTCTAGTGTGTCCTTTCGCTTTATTGGTCTTCTCTCAGTTATTTTACCTGCTCATTAATTTCGTTTTTCTCTCCAATTCTTGATCAGCTTTTAATAAAGTTTGTGATGAGGCACATCTTCAGCCTCTCCCCCAGCCCCCTAATGAACATTCAAATTATTTAGATAGATCTAGAATAACTAGTATTAAGAACAACGCGGAAGCAGGTTTGGAAACCTGTCACCGTTGGCTCCCACTCCCGAAACGTCCCTTCCCCTTTCCCCGCGCTTCCCTCACCGCTACACTCCCTTCACTCACGGCCAGCAACGACATCGCCGGCAACAAAGAGAAACCCCCCACCCGCCGTTCCTCTCGTCACCACAGGCAGCGTGGTGGGCAAAGACCAAAACCCGCCATCACGACGTCACTGCACACGAAAAAAAAAAAGGAACAGTTTTTGGAGAGTCCGGGAGGACAGAGAGTGTTTTTCGGAGGATTTTTGCCCGTGGAGGATTTTCGTTTAGATGGCGGAGTCGCCGTGAGTACCCTTTGGTTTACTTTCCCTCCCCAACAAGCATCAACCGTGTGCCACAATCACTCTGATCCCCCCTTAACGGTGATCCTCAGTGATCTAGTTTAATAATTAATAGTATGATAATATTATTAATATTAATCCATTTTCGTATATGTTCTTTTTCGACAACCACAATTGTGATACTCGCGACATCGGCCCCCTCTCACTTCACCCCCTCTTTTTTGTGGTTTGTCGCACGTAGCTTCTCCCCCTTTTTTTTTTGTTATTACCGTGTTGCCGCAGGTTGGCTGGCCTTACCCCCCACCCTTGAGTAATTTACGTAGAAGTCCTGAATGATTTTACATATGAATTTTTAATATTAATCTTTTGTACGGAAATAAAATAGAGATTGTTCATTCATCAATCCCCCCCCCCAAGTAATCATTTAAAACCCCTCTCCTTCTTATCATTTGAGGGCCTTCTGTAAAATCCATTTTTCCAATTTTTTATGACAATGCAAGTGATTTATTACTATTGTGATTTGGCCGGAAATTATTCAATTGTAATTTCACGGTCAAGGTCACAAGTTTTATCAAGAAATTTGTTCATCTCAGTGACTCACGATATGATATTGTTTAATAAATTAACTCTATTTTTGCCAACGCACGCAAGTGAAAATTAGCTTGACCCGCCTCAAAATCCTCCTCAAAATAATTCTCTTTTATCTCGTCCATCTCTCGAAAATATCCATTGGCAGCCACCGGGATTTATGAACGGTATTTTCGTAGTTTTCCCCAATTTATTCACCTGACACTGACAGTTTTTAACATGCTTCTCGATGTCATCCTTCATTCCTTTTCATTTATATTTCTGCTTCATTTTTACGTGCATTCGCTGGACGCAAGGATGAACTCCGAAACGTGTATCGTGATACTTCTTCAAGATTATTGACATGTCTTCAGATTCTGGTTTAATGTTTTCCTCAATAATTTCCAAATTCTCATGCCCAATGTCACCACCCTCGGTATCAAGCTTTTTACGCTGCGCTCGGGCTACCACTGTCGCGGATCCCGCGGTTTTTTCCGCGGATCTCGCGGTTTTTTCTTCTTGATGAATCTCATTATCTTGTAATTATATAACGGTTTTGGGGAACAGCTGCCAACAGGCGGAGTATGACTCATGCTCCTCGTGCGCAAGAGTGTACTCCCCCCTGGTCCCCAGGCTAAGACCTGAAAACGGCACGAGGCCACTCGACTCCCCGATAATCCGGAAGCTGAAAGATGTCGGGTTAATAAGAAGTCTATGACAATCAACCGCCGTAACA